CTCAGCCCAAAGCGAGCCAGTCATGGATGGGGGAGGGGCCGAGCCAGGCCAAACATGGGGGGTGGTGCAGGGCACTGTGGGTGTTTCCAGACACCGAGCCCACCCCCTGACATGACACTGACAAAGGGCAGGAGCGGGGAGGGCACTTTCCTGGCCTGGTCTGCTTCTGGCCCTGGCCTCCCATGTGCACCTGGAACCAGGTATGGCCGAGGCAGGACCCCGCAGCCACCCAGGAGGTGCCCTGAAAGTGAGCAAGGTCCGGGCACTGAATCACCCAGGGGGACCTATTCTAGCCTGACTCCCACCCCCATGTTTAGAACTCCTCCAGAAGCTTCACCAGGCTGGCATCCTGGCATTTTTTACGGAAGAGCTATGCAGGGACTGGGCCGTCCACGATGATGACGTGCTGAGGCAGCTTCGGGTTTCCTATGAAGGCCTCGCGCTCTCCATCCGGGGCAGTAAATAATCAGGAGTCCCGGGAACCACCAGCCCTGCCCTCGGGGCTTTCTGCCTCCTCTTCCCCTCCTCTGCTCTAAGAAGCTTCTGAAAGCAAGGCCAGCAGGGCCTCAGGGCAGGTGCTGTCCTCAGAAGCCTCAGAGGCGAGGAGGGGGATGTCTCCATGTGCCACCAGCTCCTCCCCACACCCTCTAGTTCTTGGTCTCCAAGACCCCCTGGTGGCCACAGCAGCCTTCAGACCTATGTGTTCAAGCAGAAGACCCTACCTTTGAGCAGCAACTGTCCCCCAGAGAGCAGCAGGGCGCCCCTCCCATCCTGAACTCCCACACAAGGTCGTCAGGACAACAAGCCCCAAGCCAGACACTGAAAAGAATCGTGTACCAAAGCTCAAAAGGACGCAGGGAGAGGGCACGAATGGGACCCTCAGGCCTGAGGCAGTACCTAGACTTCTGCTGAGTGTGGGAATGGTCCAGTCCTGGCAAGGAACAGGTGGCCCTAGGGAGCAGAGGGGCCAAGTACCTGGTGGCATCTCAGCCAGTATGGGGAGAGGCCCCCATGCAAGGGGGTCAGGTGACAGGGTGTCTCACGCTTGATTTCTGAGTCAAGGCTGATGCCCAGGCCCAGCTCCTATGAGGTGAGGGCCTGATGCAGAAAGCCTGAGCCAGCCCGAACCAAACACCATGTGGATGTCCCAGGAGCAGGTAGAGGTGCCTTGCCAGTTCCCAAGCCTCAGGCTGAGCTCACCCTTTGCTTTGGGGTCATCAGCCTGCAGGAATGTCCTCAGCGTCAGGCCAGGGAGGCCACACAGCAACCAGGAGCACCGCAGGGAGCCGGGTCCATGGGGCCTGTCCTGGAAGGGCTGGATAGGCTCTGTGTGGAAGCTGACCACGTCTGCTTTTCTTTCAGCAAGAAGAGAGGAGTTTCCCAGGGAGGTCCTGGGCCTGGATCTGGTGTCCTCAGGACCCGGGCCTCGGCTGGCCTCCCGAAGCGTGGAGACTCACCGCCGAGATCTCGGACTGGCCCTCTCTGGCCCACCGTCTCTGTCCCCAGTCCAGGACAGGCCAACAGTAATCTGGAAACTCCTGCAGTGGAGCTCGCTGCCAAACCTCCCCTGTGATGTGGACTTTGGGGCCCCATGGTTCCCCAAAGTCAGTTACCAACAAGAGTGCTGGGTCCATGCCACTTGTCCATCAGCTGTGGCCACCCCTAGGGCCCCAGTCCAGGACAGGCCACTAGTAATATGGAAACTCCTGCAGTGGAGCTCGCTGCCAAACCTCCCCTGTGATGTGGACTTTGGGGCCCCATGGTTCCCCAAAGTCAGTTACCAACAAGAGTGCTGGGTCCGTGCCACTTGTCCATCAGCTGTGGCCACCCGTAGGGCCACAGAACAGGCCCAGTCCTTCACCCCCACTGTAGCCCCATTACCAGGCCCTGTCTTGCCCACTGATGGCTCACTGAGGGCTTGAGCCCACCTCTCCTATTTTGTAGGAACCCACAAAATAAATTGTTATCAGTTACAACGTGCCTGTTTCTGTGGCTCCCAGACCTCTGTAGGAAGCACAGGACACTCTGGGGCAGGAGAAAGGTCAGGGTCTTGCAGCCCAGGCCACAGACCAGCTTCTCCTGGCCTCCCCCTGGCAAGGTCCTCAGCAGGCCGATGGCCACCCAGAGCCCAGGTTCCCACATACCTCATTAGAGGCCACAGGCCCACAGCCTCCCACTCTCAGCTGACACCAGGGTCAAGGGCATCAGGTGATTTACTGTGATTCAACCTTTGCCTGGCAAGGGCGCAGGGAGGATTGGTGAGGAAGTAAAGGATTACGGTGCCAGGTGAGTATGGGACAGGCAATGACAATCTGTGTAAAGCGTCCCTGGGATGATCTATAGTCACCTCTATTTCTGGGCTGATTGGGCTCTGGAGGAGCTTCCTTCCCTCTTTTCCTCCTCCTCTTCCTCTCTATTCCTGCTCCTGGCATCCGGTACCCTCACATCCTGAGCCTGTGTGGGGGCAGGTCACAATGGATGCTGCTGAACACCGGCCAAGGGAAAGGACAGGGAGGGAAGCGTGGTGGAGTCAGAGTCAGCAGCTCGTCTGGCTGGTGGGGGTGGGGGCGCTGACCCAGGAGCAGACTGAGACCTCGCACATGTGCGTGTGCACATGCGTGCTTGTGTGCACGTGTGTGTGTGCACACCTGTCGTCCCTGGTTTCTGCTCTAAGACCCACCCAGAGCCCAGGTTCCCACATACCTCATTAGAGGCCACAGGCCCACAGCCTCCCACTCTCAGCTGACACCAGGGTCAAGGGCATCAGGTGATTTACTGTGATTCAACCTTTGCCTGGCAAGGGAAAACTCAGGAAATGCTGCCCCACGCAGAGCTAGAAGACTGCAAGGTGGGGATCCGAGTCCCAAGTCAGCTTCACAGTCACCTAGGAAGGACTCTCTCCTGGGACAAGAGAAGCCCTTTGGCCTCAAGCCCACCTTTCCTTGTTGGTCACTACAAAATAAATTGGTAGTGGTTGCAATGTGCCTGTTTTTGCAGTTCCCAGAGCTCTGTAGGAAGTGCAGGACACTCTGGGGCAGGAGAGTGGACAGGGTGGCACAGCCCAGGCCACAGACCAGCTTNGAGGGCTTGAGCCCACCTCTCCTATTTTGTAGGAACCCACAAAATAAATTGTTGTCAGTTATAACGTGCCTGTTTCTGTGGCTCCCAGAGGTCTGTAGGAAGCACAGGACACTCTGGGGCAGGAGAAAGGTCAGGGTCTTGCAGCCCAGGCCACAGACCAGCTTCTCCTGGCCTCCCCCTGTCAAGGTCCTCAGCAGGCTGATGGCCACCCAGAGCCCAGATTCCCCCATACCTCATTAGAGGCCACAGGCCCACAGCCTCCCTCTCTCAGCTAGACACCAGGGTCAAGGGCATCAGGTGATTTACTGTGATTCAACCTTTGCCTGGCAAGGGTGCAGGGAGGATTGGTGAGGAAGTAAAGGATTACGGTGCCAGGTGAGTATGGGACAGGCAATGACAATCTGTGTAAAGCGTCCCTGGGATGATCTATAGTCACCTCTATTTCTGGGCTGATTGGGCTCTGGAGGAGCTTCCTTCCCTCTTTTCCTCCTCCTCTTCCTCTCTATTCCTGCTCCTGGCATCCGGTACCCTCACATCCTGAGCCTGTGTGGGGGCAGGTCATCTCTGGCCCACCGTCTCTGTCCCCAGTCCAAGACAGGCCACTAGTAATATGGAAACTCCTGCAGTGGAGCTCGCTGCCAAACCTCCCCTGTGATGTGGACTTTGGGGCCCCATGGTTCCCCAAAGTCAGTTACCAACAAGAGTGCTGGGTCCGTGCCACTTGTCCATCAGCTGTGGCCACCCGTAGGGCCACAGAACAGGCCCAGTCCTTCACCCCCACTGTAGCCCCATTACCAGGCCCTGTCTTGCCCACTGATGGCTCACTGAGGGCTTGAGCCCACCTCTCCTATTTTGTAGGAACCCACAAAATAAATTGTTATCAGTTACAACGTGCCTGTTTCTGTGGCTCCCAGACCTCTGTAGGAAGCACAGGACACTCTGGGGCAGGAGAAAGGTCAGGGTCTTGCAGCCCAGGCCACAGACCAGCTTCTCCTGGCCTCCCCCTGGCAAGGTCCTCAGCAGGCCGATGGCCACCCAGAGCCCAGGTTCCCACATACCTCATTAGAGGCCACAGGCCCACAGCCTCCCACTCTCAGCTGACACCAGGGTCAAGGGCATCAGGTGATTTACTGTGATTCAACCTTTGCCTGGCAAGGGCGCAGGGAGGATTGGTGAGGAAGTAAAGGATTACGGTGCCAGGTGAGTATGGGACAGGCAATGACAATCTGTGTAAAGCGTCCCTGGGATGATCTATAGTCACCTCTATTTCTGGGCTGATTGGGCTCTGGAGGAGCTTCCTTCCCTCTTTTCCTCCTCCTCTTCCTCTCTATTCCTGCTCCTGGCATCCGGTACCCTCACATCCTGAGCCTGTGTGGGGGCAGGTCACAATGGATGCTGCTGACCACCGGCCAAGGGAAAGGACAGGGAGGGAAGCGTGGTGGAGTCAGAGTCAGCAGCTCGTCTGGCTGGTGGGGGTGGGGGCGCTGACCCAGGAGCAGACTGAGACCTCGCACATGTGCGTGTGCACATGCGTGCTTGTGTGCTTGTGTGTGTGTGTGTGTGTGCACACCTGTCGTCCCTGGTTTCTGCTCTAAGACCCTGTCCGTGACCCCAAGTGACCCCACCTGTACCCTTGCTGACATATGCAGAGACCTATCCGGGCTCCCAGCTGGTGAATACTGGACTTGGTGATGCCATCCTCACGGATGTCACCATTACATAAACAAATGAACTCCCTGAGGGTCTCCTCTCACACAGATCAGAAGGGTGACACGTTCTTGTCCTACTAGTATTTTCTCATCTCGTCCATTCTTTTTATCCATCTTCCTCCTCTTACTGATTGGGTATGAAGGGGGTTCTTGATGTGCAGTGAAGGGAGTCAGGCCCAGAAGGACAAACACCACATGGTCTTGATGTCAGAGGTAGGGTCCAGGGGGCCCGGTAGTCGGCCTCAACACACCCAGTCCTCTGTCCAGGTTCGCGACTCTGCCCCAGGAAAGGATTCAAGGGCAGAGCCAGAGTAGATGGTGAGAACTAATTTAATGTGACAGATAAGAAATGCAGGTTGCACAGGGTGCGGCATGCTCCAGAGACTGAGCAGGCCCACACCAAGTCTAACACACAAGTAAGCTCAGTACAGACATCAAGTCCAACACAGAAGGAAGAAAAACACCTTAACATTCAGTACAAAGGGCAGGCTGGCTCCGGAGAATGAGCAGCTGCTGCTGAAAGCAAGTTAGATACAAAGTGAAATATACACACCTCAGCCGTGGCCTCCAGGACAGTGAGCTGCGACCTGCCTTCAGCTGGGATTTGACTTTTATAGTTTATGTGACAAACATTCAGTTAAGGGGATGGTTCCCAGTTACATGCACCAGGCGTATTCAATAGTATTCCATGCTCTCTATCGAGCATGCCAGCCGCTGGATTTGCATAGGCAGCCCCTGTGGTCTCGTTTTCCCCGGGTTGGGGCTGAAAACAGGTCTAACTGGCAACAGTAACTTTCCCCCAGTGGAGAGCTCAGAGGAGGGGGCCTGAGACCTCAGGGAGTGGCTGCAAACCCAGAGACGTGTCCTGAAACCCGAGCCCAGAAAACTGAGCGACTCCTGTATCCTCTGTACTATTCTATTTTCTTCAACTTCTTGTAAATCTGCCATTATTTCAAATAAAATGTAAAAATATATAAAGTAACATGTAAAAAAGTAGCTGGTCCTTCACCACAGATAGAGAAGCACTAGCCTTGGACTGAATCAGCTATGCCAAGAGTGTTTAAAAAAAAAAATCTTACGGTCATCGTCAGCAGTTATGGCTGGATTCTTCAGGATGCAATCTATTGCTAATTTTTTATCCATTATCTACTGTTATCATAATGCTGTGTAAGACAAGCAAACAAAAACACAAAGTCCAGTGGCACCAAACAATGCATTTCCATTGAGCTCACTGGCAGCTCTTCTGCAGGGTTCACGTGTGTCTGCAGCCACTGGCTGGCTCAGCTGGGGAATGGCTGGTCTCAGATGCCACAGGTGGGATGACCTGGCCTTGCTGCATGTGGTCTCTCAGTCTTCAGCAGACATGTGTGGCCTTGTTCTTGTGACAGACACAGCACTCCAGTGGAGCATGTGGAGGGCCACAAGCCTTCAGAACTGGCCACTGTCCTTCTCACTGCAAGGCCAGACCAGATTCCAGGGGTGAAGAAGTGGACTCCACTTGAAAGGATAGTGGGTGAGGAAAGGGAAAGGATTGAGGCCATTTTGCAATCAGTTGACCAGATCCTGGCAGGATCCTGGTCCCCATAGAGTGATCTCAGAGCATAGACACTAGTGCCTCACTTGCTGGCACTAAGGGCTGCTGATGAAGTCCTGCTCCTCACTCTCAAGTACAGACACCATTAATTGATGACTGTACTCTGCTGATGAACTTAGATGTGGCTTTAGAATCTTTGGGAATTAGATTTACGAATTGAACTCTATCACTCAGCACTGCAATTGTAGACAGTCAGCGGGTAGCTCAGGAGCCCCCCAGCCCCTTCAGGGGACAGCGGACATGCATGTGTGGCTAGTAAGAGGTGACTGTACCCTCTCAGATATTAGTCTTGACCCCTCTCAGGTCACTGTGGCCCAATTACAAGGCCCGTGAGCATCTACCTACTGACTGACAAGCAGGGAGCAGCCAGGCAGTTGTCAGGGAAAGCGTCTCTTGTGCTCTTCCACATGCCGTGGGTAGCATTAGGCTGCAAGTGTGGTCCTCTGAGCTTCTTGGGGTAAGACACAGTGTATTCCTGTCAGTTTGGGGGTTATCAAGGATAACAGATGTGGTTACAATAATAGAACTCCTCGGGAATGGCACAAAGGAAACCTGAGTGTGTCAGGTAACACACTGAGTCTGAATTCCGGGCACTGATAAAATCATATTTTGGATGCTCTCTCACAGTCCTGGGAAATAAAAGCAGAAGACAGGAAATTGGGAGCTGCAAGGGAGGATGCAGATTTCCCTGGTGCAGGAACGTGTTCTCCCCTACTGGGCCCCACAGGATCAGAGGGCACAGAGAGCCACACTGGTGAGCCTGGAAACTGGCTGGGGCAGGATTCCTGACAAGGGAAAAGTCTCTCTGCCTGGTGTTCACTGGGATCTGTTTCTGTAACAATGTTACAGCTTCCAAAGAACAATTATGGAACCCTGCGGACTTTAGAGAAGCAGAAACCATTCACCAGCTTTTCCTCTGCAGTGTCTCTGTGCTAGACCCAATAGCAGGCAGATGGGAAGGGTATCTGTACTGGCCAGTAGAACAGGTTTGGGGTTCAGATGCATGAAAAACCCTTTAGAAGTGGTACTTGGAGTGGGGCTACATAAAGGAGAGGACTGCTCGTCACACAAGTCCAGTAGCATGGAGCTTGTGTGTACCAGAGCAGGCAGGGGAGGAAACAGATGACTGGGGAGATGAAAAGAGGTACTAGAGGTTCATTTGACCAGTCAGTCTGGGGCAGCACCAGTGACATGTGTGGTGTGAGCAGGCCCCTGGCAGGGAGCTGGGACACAAGACGAGGCTCAGGTCTCGGGGAATTTTGCATCCAGCAAGGATGCAGAGAGAACACCAGCACTGCAGAGACCAAAGCATCATGAAGGCCAACTGCAAGATGCACCCCTCTCCAGCCCCCAAAACCTCAGTTACCACACCCAGGACAGATCATCAGAAGGGGAAGTCGGAGAACAAGGTCAGTTGGAGGCTGTCACGTGATGATTCTTCAGTCTCCACCCCCTCCCTGACCCCCCAAGCCCAGGCCTGAGTCACTGTCGATTCACACCAAGTGATCAAAATGTCTAGATACTGGCAGCAGAAGGCTTGGGGCAGGAAGACGGGGAAATCCAGATGGTTTTTATAGTTGACAGAGGGGAGAGGTTTTGTCATTCATGGGTGTGTTCTCTGCCTCTGCCCATTCATCCCAGGCCCTGCTTTCATAGAGACCCGAGATTTCAGAAACAGGGCCTGGGGACTCTATTTACAGTTTTGTTCTTTCATGCTGTAGCATTTTGAATCCGTCAACTGTCACAGTCTCTTAGTGGACAGATCCAGAGAACATGAGATTGTCTGGAGTTGCAGGAGAGCCTGGAGTTGGGCGTGTCACAGGGTTTCCCGGCTGCAGGGCCCTGGCACGTGAGAACGAAGTTGTCCCTGTTGCTGTGCTGCTTGCTCTTCTGTCTTCCCTCCCCTCTCTCTCTGGAGCATTTTTTCTCCTACCCTCTGCATTTCACTCATTGATTTTAGCCGGAGCTAAAAGAGAGCTTCATTATGAGGAACTTGTTCATGGCTGGAGGAGTTGAAATGGAGATGGTGTCGTCCTGTGTCCTCAGACAGTGCTAGGATGACAATCCTATGTTAAATTTATGTGTTCTCATTTTTGTTGCGTATGACTGTATTTCTGTACATTTAAACATTTATGTTCCTGTTTTATGATTAATTAAGTGCAGTAAAAGGACTGTTCTCAAAGTTAGGAAAAGCCCTTGCTTCTCTGGAGGATTCGCTCTGCACGTTTCCTTTGCTCTTGCCAGTCCTTATTTCTCCTCACTCTTTTTTCCCACTTGTCACCTTCTTTATTCCCCGCTTTTGTTCCTCTGGGCTGGTCCTTCAATCCCCACTCCGTTCCAGGATTTGCCGATGCTTTCAAGGCAACAGGGTTTATTGTCTATAGAACTGGCTTTTGTGTTCCCCTCCCCACCCCTCTCCTCCTGTTCTTTTTTCCTCTTCTCTTTTTTCATTCATTCATTCCTACCAATTCTGCATCTCATCAGATCCCTCCCATAGTAAGTTTTATCAAGAAAATATATTGGGCCGGCCCGGTGGTGCACTCGGTAGAGTGCGGCGCTTGGGAGAGCGGCGGCGCTCCCGCCG